TCGACGATTATAATTGTGTCTCTGTGTTTTTGTTTCCCTCCTGATGCTGGTCAGACCTTCGAGGGAAAGCCCAGCCGCGGCGACGAGGAGCCTCTTCCCAACAGGCGAGCCCCATTAGCCTGGCGAGGGGCCCGACCATACGCAGTTGGGAGTACCGTCGTTGTGAGCATCGTCTTCGGTGTATCTCTTTATGTTAGAAGGCAACTACTGCGAGGTTTTCGTCGGAAGGATTACAGAGGATTAAGCCCCATTTGGGGGGCTGTTACGCCAGAACGGGCCTCCGATTAATAAGCGGGATTAAGCGGGATTAAGCGGGATTAAGCCGGATTAAACGGGATTCAGCGGGATTAAGCTGGATTTCGAAGGGCAAAATCAGAATTTGACCTCCCGGAAGTTGCATCCGAGCCACAAAGCTCGTAAAGGGTGTGCCGAAGTCTGGCGTGGACACCATGCGGGCGCTGCCACTGGGGCCTTCGAGCATCGCGGGGGGAACGAAATGAAGGAAGGGGGCCAGCAACAGGGGCGACTGGGGCCTTCGGTGGAGCTCCCCATGAGGCCACGAAGCGTGTGAGCGGTGCACCGAAATAGGGGTGCAATTGCGTGCAGGCGCTGCCCCTGGAACCATCGGTGGAGCTCCCTATGGCATAACCCCACCAGGCCACGGAACGTGTGAGGGGGTCGCCGACATGAAAGGTGGAACCACATGAGGGCGCTGCCACTAGGGCGTTCGGTGGAGCTCCCTATGGGGTCATGAAGCGTGTGAGCGGTTCACCGACATGGGTTGGGAACTGGATGCGGACGCTGCCAGTGGGGCCTTCGGTGGAGCTCCGTAACGGGCCACGATGGTGGAACTGCACGCGGGCACTGCCACAGGGGCCTTCGGTGGAGCTCCCTAATAGGCCACGAGTGACAGGTGCACCGAAATGAAGGTGGAACTGCATGCGGGTGCTGCCACTGAGGCCTTCGGTGGAGCTCCCTATGGTGCCACAAGTGCGCGGATGATTGAGGTGTGGTGCCAGGGCATTCGTTGAACGAAGCACAATATAGAGCTGAACCCAAACTCTGTTTTTCGTGTTCGTTTTGTTCCCGACCCTCCTTGCTTGGGCACTCGTTTTGAATAGAGCAGTGTGGTCTCCACTTCCTCCTTCCCGTCCCACCTCCCTCTTGCCTCCTCCTGTCTTGCCTGCGGGGGGGGGCTGCGATCTGTAAAACTGTCGCCCCTTTCGAGGCCTGCTGGGGGGCCCAGCACAGTGACGCCACGGGCGGACCCACATTAGATCTCGCCATCCCTGGGGGGGGGGGCTGCGATCCGTGAAACTGTCGCCACTTTCGGGCCTGCTGGGGGGGGGGCCCAGCACAGTGACGCCACGGGCGGACCCAAATTAGACCTCGCCATCCCTGGGGGCTGCGATCTGTGAAACTGTTGCCGCTTTCGAGGCCTGCTGGGGGGCCCACACAGTGACGCCACGGGCGGACCCAAATTAGGCCTCGCCATCCCTGGGGGGCTGCGATCTGTGAAGCTGTCGCCACTTTCGAGGCCTGCTGGGGGGGTGCACAGTGACGCCACGGGCGGACCCAAATTAGACCTCGCCATCCCTGGGGGGCTGCGATCTGTGAAACTGTCGCCACTTTCGGGGCCTGCTGGGGGGCCCAGCGCAGTGACGCCACGGGCGGACCCAAATTAGATCTCGCCATCCCTAGGGGGGCTGCGATCTGTGAAACTGTCGCAACTTTCGGGGCCTGCTGGGGGGCCCAGCACAGCGACGCCACGCGCGGGCCCAAATTAGACCTTGCCATCCCTGGGGGGCTGCGATCTGTGAAACTTGCGCCATGTTCGAGGCCTGCTGGGGGGGCCAGCACAGTGACGCCACGGGCGGACCCAAATTAGACCTCGCCGTCCCTGGGGGGCTGCGATCTGTGAAAATGTCGCCACTTTCGGGGCCTGCTGGGGGGCCCAGCACAGTGACGCCACGGGCGGACCCAAATTAGGCCTCGCCATCCCTGGGGGGCTGCGATCTGTGAAACTGTCGCCGCTTTCGAGGCCTGCTGGGGGGCCCAGCACAGTGGCGCCACGGGCGGGCTCAAATTAGACCTCGCCATCCCTGGGGGGCTGCGATCTGTGAAACTGTCGCCACTTTCGGGGCCTGCTGGGGGGCCCAGCACAGTGACGCCATGGGCGGACTCAAATTAGACCTCGCCATCCTTGGGGGGCTGCGATCTGTGAAACTGGCGCCACTTTCGAGGCCTGCAGGGGCCCAGCACAGTGACGCCACGGGCGGACCCAAATTAGACCTTGCCATCCCTGGGGGGCTGCGATCTGTGAAGCTGTCGCCGCTTTCGAGGCCTGCTGGGGGGCCCAGCACAGTGACGCCACGGGCGGACCCAAATTAGACCTCGCCATCCCTGGGGGGCTGCGATCTGTGAAACTGTCGCCACTTTCGAGGCCTGCTGGGGGGGGGGCCGAGCACAGTGACGCCACGCGCGGATCCAAATTAGATCTCGCCATCCCTGGGGGGCTGCGATCGGAGATCCCCGCTTTCGAAGTGGCTAGGGTTGCTCAGGGATTGTAACTAATCAGCTTTATCTAGTCCTGGTCCTGTAGCCAGTGTCCTGCGAGTCTCCCGAATTTCGTCTGCAGACATGTAACCATCGCTCCGTCATCGCCACCCTTATAAAGTGTCCTAAACTATTTGCGCCCCTCGTTTGCGCAGGGGTTGGGTACGTCGCCAGGGTAAGTTCTCGTTCCTCCTCCTTATGCCTTCGCTTCGCCTTGTGCTTTCGGTGGACCTCCCTATGGGGCCACGAAACGTGCGAGGGGTGCTCCGAAATCGGTGGCGCTGACGCATGTGGACACCGCCATTGGGGCCTTCGGTGGAGCCCCTATGGGGCCACGAAGCGTTGTCCTGGGTGCCACTGTGGCATTCGATAGGGGCTTCCTGTGGGGCCACGAAGCGCTGTCATGGGTGGGGGAGACGCATGCGAACGGTGCCACCAGGACCTTCGGTGCAGCTCCCTAAGGGGCCACGAAGCGCTGTCCTGGGTGGGGGAGACGCATGCGAACGGTGCCACTGGGGCCTTCGGTGGAGTTCCCTATGGGTACACGAACCGCTGTCCAGGGTGGCGGAAACACGTGCGAGCGGTGCCACTGGGGCCTTCGGTGGAACTCCCTCTGGGGTCACGAACCGTGTGAGGGGTGTGCCTACATGAGTGGCGTTGACGCATGCGGACCCTGCCACTGGAGCCCCCGGTGGAGCTCCCTATGGGGCCACGAAACGTTGCCATGGGTGGCGTTGACGCACGCAGGCCCTGCCAGTGGAGCCTTCGGTGGAGCTCTCGATGGGGCCACGAGACGATGTCGTGGTTGGCGTTGACGCATGCAGACCCTGCCACTGGAGCCTTCGGTGGAGCTCCCTATGGGGCCACGAAGCGCTGTCCTGGATGGCGTTGACGCATGCGGACCCTGCCTATGGAGCCTTCGGTGGAGCTCCCTATGGGGCAACGAAGCGCTGTCATGGGTGGGGGAGACGCATGCGGACCCTGCCATTGGAGCCGTCGGTGGAGCTCCCTATGGGGCCACGAAGCGCTGTCCTCGGTGGCCTTGACGCATGCGGACCCTGCAAATGGAGCCTTCGGTGGAGCTCCCAGTTGGGCCACGATGCGCTGCGGACCCTGCCACTGGAGCCTTAGGTGGAGCTCCCAATGGGGCCACGAAGCGCTGTCCTGGATGGTTTTGACGCATGCGGACCCTGCCAATGGAGCCTTCGGTGGAGCTCCCTATGGCGCCACGGAGCGCTGTCCTGGGTGGCGTTGACGCATGCGGACCCTGCCAATGGAGCTTTCGGTGGAGTGCCCTATGGAGCCCCGAAACGTTGTCCTGGGTGGCGTTGACGCATGCGGACCCTGCCACTGGAGCCGTCGGTGGAGCCCCCTATGGGGCCACGAAACGCTGTCCTGGGTGGTTTTGACGCACGCGGACCGTGCCAGTGGAGCCTTCGGTGGAGCTCCCTATGGGGCCACGAAGCGCTGTCCTCGGTGTCCTTGACGCATGTGGACCCTGCCAGTGGAGCCGTCGGTGGAGCTCCCAATGGGGCCACGAAACGTTGTCATGGGTGGCGTTGACGACGGACCCTGCCAATGGAGCCTTCGGTGGAGCTCCCTATGGGGCCACGAAGCACTGTCTTGGGTGGCGCATGCAGACGCTGCAACTAGAGCCTTCGGTAAAGCTCCCTATGGGGCCACGAAGCGCTGTCCTGGGTGGGTGCAGCGCAGGGAGGTGACGAAGCGGATGGGAGGAGGGAGGAGGGAGGAGGGAGAGGAAGAGGATGAGAGGAGAGGAGAGGAGAGGAGAGGAGAGGAGAGGAGTGACGCGGGGCGCTGTCCCTTCAAAACGAGGACCCAACACCACAGGATGGTTGGGAACTCGTTCTTAGTCATCCGCAAAGCAAAACGAAAAACAAAACGGCCCACGAGATGGCCAAAACACCGTCTAGGTCCAGCCCTGGCCCCGGCCATGATGTCCGCACCCTCCATGACCCCACTCCCCCATCGGCCCCCCAAGCAAGTTGGGAAGCAACTCCCGGGAGGCCCCTGCCAGAACGGCCGGGGACCATCAAGCCCGAGTAAGGGGGGCACTGTGCTTCAGCAACCACGAACAAAGCCCGGATTAAACCCGATAGAGCGAAATTGAGCGAGATTCGGGGATCTACTTGACCGGGTCACTCCAAACACGGATCAGTCAGGCCTTGCAGGATCCTGCAAGATCCTGCAGGATTCTGCACCCAAGCCCGGGTCAATGCGCCACTGACACTGCAAGATTCTGCAAAATCCAGCGCTCTGGCTGACCCCCGTTTGCACTGGCCCCCGTCTCTTGAGCCCGAGAGATCATGACGGACTCGGCCAGCTTCGACCACGAGTATACCAGCGATGATGCTGTGCGCCAACCTCCCAGTGAGCCACATCCCAACTTCAGGATGCGGCAGCGCGAGCCAGAGGCGGGCCGCCTGCAGGCGCGCATGCGGGGCGCGTGGGTCCTGGCAGCCAGCGGCGCGCTTCCCACCGCCGTCTCGGCCGCTGCCGCTGCCGCCGCCGCCGACGACGATGCCGCCGACGAGGAAGAGACTGCCGCCGACGACAGCGATGAGAGTGACAACGACGAGGACGAGGGCGACGCCAACGACGAGGAAGGCGGCGGCAGCGGCGACGTGGTGACGCCGACGCCGACGCCGACGCCAACGCCGACGCGGACGACACCGCCAGCGACGCCGATGGAGGTGGCGGCGACTGTCACCGCTGCACCGTCCACGTTCGTCTGAGGAGCTTCCATCAGGTGGAAGGATGAACAGCAAATAGTTTCGAACTGCGTTGGCGCCGCGCGCGTCCATCTTTGAACAAATCCAGCAGCTACACGTCAGGAGGGCAGCGCGTTTTCAAAATGTTGTCCTCGCCTAATCGCCGAGCGCAGTGGTCCTCATTGTTTGCAACAGTTGCACACATCGATGGGGTCTTCTATTGTCGATGGGTTTATCGCTTGCGACTTCTTTTGTCTTGCATGCCGCCGAGTACATATACACACATATGTATACATATGTATATGTACACATTTACAGGGAGATGTAGATGTAGGCATACTGTCTTTTAGAATTTCGTCCCCCTGTCCCATGAGGTCCCCAATGCTGTGTCTAGGCATATTGCCGTATGAATACCTGAATACCAGTATTCTGTGCTTGGCGCATGCGTCTGTGACTGTTACCGTTGTGGCTCAAGTTGCCAAAGCCCTGGGAGGAGGGGGATCGAGGAGCGCCCTCCACATCTCCTCCTGCCCCTCTCGGCTCTCTGTCCGATCCTCACGTCCGTTCACATGGTAGCCGGAGCGTAATGATTGAGCGGGCCGCTGAGGGGCAGGAGGGACGCGGCGCCGAGGACGCCGAGATTCCCCTTCCCAGGAGGGTCGAGGAGACGACCCCACGAGCAGCAGCCGCAGAAGCAGCGGCCACCACACCAGTCACAGAAGAGAACGTGCCCGCCGCAGCTGCAGCAGCCAGCAGCACAGCAGCAGCCACGGACAACAGCACAGCCTCAGGACCCGTGGCTGAACGACGACCCCTGGAGGACAGGGAACCAGCAGCAACAGTGGAATAGTTGGTGTACTAGCGGTTCTCGCTGGATGACATCGTGGTGGAATGACAGCAACTGGTGGTCAAACAGTTTTTTTTGGTCGGCGGGGCGAGAGCGAACCTCTTTCGCTAAAAGCTAGGCGGGCTACGCACAGCTTTAATTAGGGAGACAGGGCACAGAACTGGTGGTCAAACAGGGCGCCGAGCCAAGCATGGGTCACCGTCACGCCGCCGGAGCAGCCGCCCCTGCCGGCCGCGTTGATGCTACCAGCCACCCCCGCAGCACCCGCGCCGGCGCCGCCGACGCGGACGCTGCCGGCGAGCGAGCCGGACGTGCTGGTCACGGCGACGTCGAGCCAGCGGCAGCCACCGGCGCAGCCGCCTCCCCTGCCAGCACCGCGGACCGACGGCGTGTCAACGTCGACGGGCTGGCGGCCCTCGGACACCTCGAGCGGCTCGACACTGCCGCAGTGGCCATCCGCCGCTGGAGCAAGCGAGCGGGACCACCGGCGGACCAGCAAGCGGGCAAGGTCATAGACGGGCTGCCGCCAGACTTGCAGGAAAGACTCCTGCATCATCAGGACGAGCTGGACAGTGTCAACGGAGTGAACGTCCTGAGCGAATTTCTGAAGAAGTGTCGAGGCGACCAGGACGGGGACGAGGCCAGAGAGAGCTGCAGGCTGGCTCTGGAAGAAGCGGACATGAAGCCGACTGAGACCTACACGCAATACGTACTACGACACGACCTGCAAGTGCGGAATGCACGCAAGCACGGCCTCGGCTTTCCTGAACAAGTGCAGGCACAGCAGCTTCGCAACGGAGCCAACCTGAGCGAGCAGAATGCGATCAACCTGATGTCGATCACCCAGGGCAAGGAGGACCTGGAGTCGACCAAGCGAGGACTGATGAAGATGGACGTGAAGAAGAACAGCAAGATGAAAGTGCAGGTCTACGCCGGAGGTGACAGCGAGGACAAAGAGAGCGAGAACTCGAGCACGAAGGCGACGCACTACTGAGAGCTGGAGACCGACTTGATGATGGACGCCGAGGATGCGGCGTCGTTCTACCAGGCGATCTCCAACCAGGAGCTGGACGAGGACTAGGCGGTTGCCGTGCTGCGCGCGGTGCTGGACGCGAAGAGGGAGAAAGAGGGCCGCCCGCGCAAATGGGCGGAGTCGAAGGAGCTCAAGAAGGCCATCGCCCGGGACAACAGGGACTTCTTCGACTCGAAGAGGGCCAGAGGTCGCCCGACTCCTCGTCAACAGGCTGGGAAGCAGCGGCTCAGCATCGCACGCCTGGAGAAGCGAACCCGATGCGCCAACTGCGGCCAGAAGGGCCACTGGCGCAAGGAGTGCACCAATCCGTACAAGCCGAAGACGAGTGGTCCGGCTGGTTCAAAATCGGTCGGGACGCGAGGATCCCTGTACGTTGCAGCTGCAGATGATGACGCCACGTATCTGATTTGCAACGATCGTATCCTCGAGATCTGCCGCGAGGTGCCCGAGCCCCACCTCGACTGGCGGCGACGAGCCCGAGGGCATGGTGGATGCGACAGCCGGCCAAGCGCCGGTCGGAGAAGAACACCTGCAGGAACTGCGCAAGAAATCCCGCGAGAAGGGATGGGACATTCCGGTACGAGAGCTGAAGGGCGCCACTTCGGCCAAGGGAGCCGGAGGCCGGTCCAAGAACATCGGTCATCGGCGAAGCGGTGGTGCCCATCACGGAGGCCGGGATCCGGCGCCTCGTCCTGTTCCGGACCATTCGCCAAGACGTGCCGCTGCTCCTGCCCGTGCGCTGGCTCGAGAGTGTGGGTGCGATCGTGGCCAGTCATCAAGAGGCCGAGGCAGAGGTCTGGGCACAGGACCATCGGTCTGCTGGACGGCAGCTCGCCGAAGGACTTCGATGCTCCTGAGGCGGCCCAGCGAGACTGGCCCGATCTGCGCCTGGAGCATTTCTCTGCTTACAGGACTCTCACTCACCTCGTCGCCCTCTCCGACCCTCCAGATCCAATGTCAGACCTCAATCCGGGCAGGACCAGAACCGCCCCCCCTCCAGAGGACCCTGGGAGCGTTAGAAGGGGGAGGGGGGCCGCGCTCGGAGGACCCAGCTGGACCCGGGTCCGAGGCAGCGAGCAGGCAGGATGTCAAAGACGCCCGAGGAGAAAGAGCCCAGCAGGACTAAGAACGAGACCCAGGAGGAGACAGGCAGGAGGAAGCAAGAGGTTCAGGAGGCGACGGCAAAACAACAACGATCTCAACGATTATCGCAGCAGTTGTCCGAAGGACATCTGGACTCAAAACCGAATCACCCATCCCCGACCCTCAGCCTACTCTTGGAAGTTTTGAGGAACGCACCAGTGAAAGTGATGTCAGCACCCGTAGAGAAGCCACGAGTGCGTCGGAGCTCAAGTCTAAATAAGTTCCAGAAGCCTCCAGGGACTCCGAGGCACACCGTCCAGTTCGCGAAGGACAACCACGTGGACATGAGCTGGGAACGACTGCCGGGCACGGGCTCGGACACCGACAGCGAGGCGACACAGTCAGAGGGACCTGGTTCGATCCCAGGAGTTGCTGCAGGCTCAGGGGCCAGCGAGGAGCTGAACCTGAGTCTCCGGGCCTGGAAGCGGTTCTCGACCAAGATGCTGACGGTGATCGACGTCGGGGAGGCGACGAAGATGCTGCAGGCGATGCGCAGCGAGCTCAAGGGGACGATCAGCCAACTCGACTGCTCGCACCCGCCATGGGCGATGCGTGAGTCAGGCAACCAGCACGTGCGCTGCGCGAGCTGCCTGAGCTGCAAGAGCCGGGTGTGGACCAGACCACTCACGACGGCGGAGAGGCAGGCCCAGCTGAAGAAGAGGGCCGACCAGGAGGCGAGGAAGTTGCGCAGAGAGGAGTTCGTCTGCGAGCCGCCGTGGGAGCCTCCCAAATCAGTGCCGCAGGCCCCGGCGGACTCGAGAGCGACGGTCAAGCCCACCAGCCAGGCGTCGTCTCGCCATCGCTCGGACGTCCATTCCCTGTGCTTTTGTTTAGTTTCGTGCGTGGCTTTTTCGCCAAATGATCAAGGATGCTCCTCGATGGTCCTCGCCGAAGGAAAAATGCACACGTCCGAGCCATGCCAAGTCGTCTGGTTCGGCAGACACGCCGAAGCAGGTGCAGTCGGCGTTCGGCCTGATGATGGCAACAACCCAGCGCAACAGCGAGACGGTGAGCCAGCTGACCACCGCGGTTCAGCAGCTCGTGCAGGCCAAGGACCGAGCAAGGACGCCCCGAGCAAAGCCAGGGGAGGGGGAACGGGGGATCAATCCAGACCTGAACCCAAGACCCTCCAGGACCTTCGGTGCGGGGAGCCAGGATGGGGACTACGTCTAGAGAGCTGCGCCTGTTGCCCACCAACGGCGCCTCGGCAGCGTGCACCGAGACGGCAGCTTCCAGGCTTCCGGGGCCCGGTGGGAAGGTGAGGGGGCAAGAGCGACTTCACTCGACGAGGTCACCGAGGCTCGAGGGTGGCTTACGTGGCTTACCAGCCTGGAACATGTCCCTGTCCCTAAGCTGGGCATCGCCTCATCACGATGCCAGTCTTAGGGATTCCCTTAGTTGTTCAGGGCGCATCCCTGAGATTGGCATCGCCTTTTGGCTTGCCAATCTTAGGGATAGGGACAAGTTCGAGGCTGGCGAGTGGCGAAAGCAACGGCTGCTCGGGAGCCGCGGGAGATAGCCTCTACAATTAGGTCGGGCCTGTCCCCCTCCAGGGGGATTTTGGACGACAGATAAAAAATACGCAACAAAAATACCCCCAAATAATCGAACAATAATCAAAAAATAGCCCCCAGACTATTTATTTTGGCTATGTTTGAAGATTCCCCCTGTAGAGGAACAGGCACGACTGAACTCTACGACTCCCTCTCCTCGGATTTC